CTCTTCAAGTGTCACAGAAACGAATTAGGGAAAAGGCAATGTCCAAGGATAAAATGCTGTGCTACCAAAGCTCCGGAACCTCATTATCTTTCAGTTGCTGACTCGGAAGTTGAATGTAATAAACCACAGTGCTCTGATTAGTAGGAATGCTGCTTAGTTTGGTACCAGAAGAAAGTTCAGGATCCGTATACACCAGAGATCTCTTGGCTGAGAGCTTTAGCAGCCTTACCATCATAACCCTGATTGTGTGAGTCTCCCTGGAGTGCCAAACACTGGCATAACTTCAGCATGTACTACAAGTGATACCTTTGGGGCCATGGCTTCATCTCCACGCCAGGGGCCTCATCTAGCAGACCCTGACTCAGGAACAAAGTAGGACTGTCAGCAAGAAGACTGACAGGGCCACCCTGCACCATGTGTAACCACAAAAAGCGCAAGTGCCCACAGAAGCATTTTAAAAATAGAAGGGCCATCTTGAAAAACTTGGTGTTTGGCAACGGATTCCAAACCAAGTCCAAAGGACATTAATCTGACCCTTTCTTTTCAGGCAGGAAAACACACCATGGTTCAGCAAACAACAGGGATAGAGAAAGGAAATAGGGCAGACTGACTCCATGTGCTCCCCATGGGAGAATCTCCTGAGCCAGTAGGCATCTTGCCACAAAACCAAAAACAACTGGTGGGCTAAAGCAGTGGAGGACCTAGGTTTGGTTCCAGGCACCCACATGGTGGCTCACAATCATTTATAACTCCAGCTCCAGGGTATCTGGTCTCTGCTTCTGACAACTGAGGGCACCGGTCATGCATGTAGTAACATGCTTACATATAGGCAAAAAACTTAGACACACACACACACACAAAATCGAAAAAATTAAAAATATAAAACAAAGGCACAGCTTATAAGCAATAAAGAAGATAAAATGATTGAAAACTCTCCCAAAAGAAGACAGGAAAGGGCTGGAGTGATAGATAGCTCAGTTGATAAAGCACTTGCCTTGCAAGCATGAGGATTTGAGTTCCAGCTCCAGAACCCAAATTAAAAACAAACTCAGGTATGGTAGCTCACACCTGTAGTCCAAGCACCAAAGAGGAAGAGACAGGAGGTTCTCTGGGGCTTATTGGCCAGCTAGTCTACCCTACTTGGTGAACTCCAGGCCAATTCAAAGACAACGTGGGCAGCACCTAAGTAACCACATAGCCGAGACTGTCCTTGGGCCTTTATATACATGTGTACACGGCCACCCTCCACACACACACACACACACACACACACACACACACAGGTGGGAAAGAAAAGAGGGAGAGAGACTATGAACATAGATAAACAGAAACAAAACAGCAAGATGGCAGATAAACCCAGTTATGTCAATAATTACATTAGCTGCAAACGAACTAAGCATACTAATTAGGCAGAAATTTCAGACTATACAATGAAGCACAGTTTAGCTGTATGCTATCATTAAGAAATATGCCTTAAACATAAAGGCATAAATTAATAGCAAAAGGCTAGGTAAAGATACACATTTTAAACATTGGTCATAATAAAGATGAACTATTAGAAGATTAGAATAAGAAGTGGCTATTAGCAAACTATACTTTAGGTCAGAGGATAGGCACTGGCAGAAATAAAGAGAAATATTTCACAATGAGAAAAGGGAAAATATAGTCATTCTAAATATTTTTCTACCTAACAAGGCATCAAAATACGAATAAAAGTTAATGTAATTGAAAGGAGATATAATAATTTATAGTCATAAAAACTCCAATTTCTTTTATTGATAAAGTGACAGAACAAACGTACAAAAAAAATCAATGAAGATATGGAAGACTTCAGTAACATTATCAAACAACTCAGCCAATTTTATGTTACAGAACACGCCATCTCACAACTGCTATATATACTATACATTTTTCTTTTCAAACATTCAACATAGTCATACTGACTGTCTACTCCATTGGTACGCAAGTCTCAAAATATTTAAAAGGTTTGAAATTATAAAAATATAGCTCTTATTATAAAATGTAATTACAGTTGAAATGAAGAAAAATAGAAATTATAAATCAATAAAAGTTCTCTGTAAAAATCAAAATATTTAGAAATTAAGCAACATTTTGTTTTTAGACAGGGTCAGTTTGACTAGCAGCCCTAGCTGACCTGGATCGCAATATATAGACTAGGCTGGTCTTGTCACAAAGACCTGCTGCTTGTGCCTCCTGAGCGCTAGTATTAAAGACATACATCACTCATAAAGTTCCACCAACATGACTGCCTAAATATGAGTTGAAGGAGGACAACACCAAGAGACATGCCAAAGCGGATGGGGAGAAGTTCCTGAGGCCTCAACCCTACACTAAGGCAAATGAGGAATGCTGAGAGTGAGAAAACTGGAAGAGCACACAATACCAAATGATCATCCCTGACAACATCCATGTAACACTATGTGGACTGAGAAGATTAGAATAAGAAGTAGAAATGTGTATATACACACACATATATGCATGTAATAACAGATTATGAATTTGAAAGTAAACAAGGAGGGTATATGAGGTTTGCAGGTACGAAAGGGCAGGGAGAAATGTTATAACTATAATCTCAACAAGAAGAAACAAACAGACAAAACCACTTATTTATGTGTGGGCCTACACATTCCATGAGCATGTAGTGATCAGAGAAACACGTGTGTACATGACGGTTCTTTTCTTCTTCATGTAAATTCCAAGGCTTGGGTTTGGTGGCAGTGCCTTTCTTTACCAACTGAGGCGTCTAGACAGGCCTGAGGTACATAATTCTTTCATTGTGCATTTCTCTTAAATTACATAGGAGAAGACATGCATAGTTCCTAGACAAGGGAATGTTTAGGTTAGGTCATTTGAAGCTGAACACATGAATTCTATGAAACAGAATTGGTGAGAAAAGATAAAAACAAATTCAATTTGCATTTTTTCCCAAGTCATTTCCTAGTCATACCCTCATAAAGAGTTCTTCTTCAACAGTGTTTATAGACTACTTGCTACCTTCCAGGAATGTACTAGTAACCTGTGAGTGAGGTGCAGAGGGGTGAATATCCCAAACTGCTCATAGATCTTAGAGCAGATGAGACAGACTACAAACGATTCATAAGTAAAAATGTGTTGTATTTTATAGGATGTAGATTATGATAACAAGAGAAAACAGAGAAGGGAGAAGAGGAAAATAATTTCTCCCCCAAGTCCCACAAGGGACAGAATCCAGTTCCTTCCTGTATGCTGGGCAAGTGTATTTACAGTTAGCTATACTTTCAGGAATTAGAGGTGGCAGGCAGCAAGGACTTCATTAATTAGGTGATATTTGAGGGATACTGAACATAAGGAAGAAGACATGAAAATTTGGTCAAATATTAGGAGTATACATGGGTATTCAAGAAAAAACAAAGAAGCTGGTTTGGCTGGTGCAGGAAGAACCAAGGAACACAGCACATAATGTTAGGGAAAGAGGTCAGGGAAGACCAAGCAAGGTTTTGTTAGGCCTTGAACTTTTATACTCAGTAAGTGTGAGGCCTTTGGAGGGTTCTGAGCAGAAAGGTGAAATGACAGTCTTAAATACTAACAATATCATTCTGACTGTTATGATGAAAATATATCAAAGGTGAAGGGCTCTGAAAGGAAACCAGATAGGCTACTGTAAGAATCCCAGGTAACTGGAGAGATGGCTTAGTGGTTGAGTGCACACTACTCTTGCTGAAGATCTGAATTTGGTTCCTAGTACCCACAATGGGCAGTTCACAATCACTTACAACATCCAGCATGTCTTCCTCAGGCACCTGCACTTGCTGTGGAACAGAAAATTTGTTTAAGGAAGTAAAGGTGTGTTACATTTGTCTGTGTTGCAGAATAACTGTTTAACTATGTAAAGATGTGCTGTATTTGCTTAATTATGTAAGGATGTGTTGCTTTTGTTTATGCTGCATTTAATTAACTATATAAAGATATTGTTGTTGTTTCACTTTGCCTGCCTAAGGCATCTGATTGGTCTAATAAAAAGCTTAATGGCCAAAAATTAAGCAGAGGAGGGATGGGGGGGGCTGCCTAGCAGAGAGAAAAGGGAGCCAGCGAGCCAGCCAGGTAGACAAGAAGGAAGCAGGAAAGTAGTGTGGACAGTATGTAGATGAGGTAAGCGAGTCTCAGGGCAGTACATAGATGAATAGAAATGGGTTAATTTAAGTTAAAAAAAACTAGCTAGAAACAAAGCTAGAGTAAGGTCAAACCATTCATAATTAATAATAAGTTTCTGTGTCTTTATGTGGGAGCTGGTTGGCGGCCCAAAGAAAATTTCAACCATGTGCACATAAGTACCCTGCCTCCCCCACCCCCCCACTACAGTCACACAGTTAAAAACAAAAATTGACTCTAAATAGCTGGCTTAGCAGTACAGAGAACTTACTGATCCTCCAGAGAACCTGAGTTTGGTTTCCAGCACCCATGTCAAGTGGCTTACAAATGCTTGTAACTCCAGTTCCAGAGCATCTAATGTCCTCTTCTGGCCTCTTTGGGTACACACCCACACAAGAACATACACAGGGGCCAGGGTAGAGAGCAGACAAAGTCTGGAGTGAATGTGTATTGTTGACATGAGCATGGCCATGTCAAGGCCCAATGCATCAGAACTCTTTCCCTGGCTCAGGCTCTAGGCCTTCCCCTAGTCCAAGTATGGATGGTGACAGTGTGTGCAGAAAGTATCAACCACAACTTCTTCCTCAAGGATGAATACAACTTGAGACTACTCCTTTACAGAGACCATCCCCCGCAACAAAATCAGCTAACCTGACTTCTCAGTCGGCTGTATACAACAAACATGCTCCTTGTTCATATAAACACATCAAGTTTCTGGGATGCTGCATATATGATCCATGAGACTCGGTTGTTTATCAGTGTCTTAGTGGGGGTTTCTATTGCTGTGAAGAGACACCAAGATCATGGCAACTCTTGTAAAGGAAAACATTTAATTGGGGTGGCTCACTTACAGTTCAGAGGTTTAGTTCATTATTGTCATGGTGAGAAGCAAGGCAGCATGCAGGCAGACATGGTGCTAGGGAAGGAGATGACAGTTCTTATGTCTTGACCTGCAAGCAACAGGAAGTGGTTTGAGACTTGACTTGAGCATGTATAATACCTCAAAGCCCACCCCCACAGTGAAACACTTCCTCCAACAAGACCATACCTACTCCAACAAAGCCACACCTCCTAATGCCACTCCTTATAAGCTTAGGGGCCCAAATACATTCAAGCTACCACAGTGAATCGATTGTTTCTTCATTCCCTGTTGCTCCCATCAGGTCAATCCCAAAGCTGTGCATGTTATGTGCACACACAGGCATATAAACAAAAGTACAAATAAATTTTAAAAACAGAATCCTAGAGAACTCATAGTTGTGTCTAACAAGGTGATTTCTAGTTCACTCAAATGAGTGATGATGCAGGAGAGAGGAGATAGTTGCTAGATCACAATCAGCAAGCAGGTAAGGGAGGAGACCTAAAGCAGGAATTGCAGAGTGACAGGGCTAGGAACACTTCAGTTTAGAGGGGAAAGGGCAGACACTTCCTGTACCGGTAGAGCACTCATGCAGTGTTGTAGGGAGGTGGCATCTCTAAGTTTTTTCTGATTATTCCTTCTTCTCAGGGATGATGTGGGAGTGTCATATATCAATCTGTTGATTTCACTGATTAAGCAATAAAGAAACTCCTTGGCCTTGATAGGTTAAAACATAGGTGGGAGGAGTAAACAGAATAGGATGCTGGGAGGAAGAGGAAGTGAGGTCAGACTCTGCTCTGCTCCCGGGGAGACCCGACAGCTCTGCTCTCTGGAGCAGAGACGCCATGCTCAGCTCTCCCTGGTAGAAGTGATAGCTCCTCTCAGCTCCGACCCAGGATGGACGTAGGCTAGAATCTTCCCGGTAAGCACACCTTGGGGTGCTTACACACATTATTAGAAATGGGCTAGTCCCGGTGTGAGAGTTAGCCGAGAAGAGGCTAGATATAATGAACAAGCAGTGTTTAAATGAATACGATTTGTGTGTTGTTATTTCGGGGCATAAGCTAGCAGGCAGCTGGGGTGCTGGGGACGCAGCCCCGCCACTATTATTTCAACACAGGGACATAGGAAGTAAGGGATGAGAAAGGAGAGAGGCAAGAATTGGTGCTTGAGGAAGGAATGATGTGGTGAATTACAAAACCAGGAGAATGAATGAATTCGACTTGCCACGCTTGGCCTTTAAACCCTAGATACAACTGAAACAGTCCTCTCACAGTTTGCTTCTAAATTTCTACACATATAGAAATAATTATCAACATTTATTCACTTTTTATTACTCATATGCTACTAGAGAGAGAAAGAGCGAGAGAGCGAACAAATCTTGTCTTTCCTATAGTGTGGGTGGATGTGCTCAGATACACAGAGCTAAGTGAATGGAATATTGGCCATTTTGTAGCTCAGTGTCATGTGCAGAACTGATGCTTTCTGCTTTGAATTATTTCCTTATTACACTACCTAAGAAAAATCTAGATGGGCTTATTATTGTGTGTACTTCCATTTACCCTAAGACTACTACAGAAGTGAAAACCTCAAGGAGGAATTAATGTCAGAGGGAGGAAAATGCTTACTGTAAGAGGCTAGAAGATTAAAAATGTTTTCATAAATACCACGAGGAGGCTTCCTTTCCTCCCTCCTTCCTTCCTTCCTTCCTTCCTTCCTTCCTTCCTTCCTTCCTTCCTTCCTTCCTTCCTTCCTTTTTTTGTTTTGGTTTTTCGAGACAAGGTTCCTCTGGGTAACAGCTCTGGCTGTCCTGGAACTTGCTTTGTAGACCAGGCTGGCCTGGAACCATGAAGCTTTCAAATAGGCAACTCACCTAGAAAATTTGAAGTGGTGTGCATTTTCATAGCATGCAAATATTTCTAATAAAAGTACTCTCCAATAACTAAGGGGAAACTGTCATATACATGCTGTATATTTATCAACATCATAAATACATAAAGCCTTATGGTTTTATATAGAAGTTATTGACACATTAATTATCAGTTAATGCCCTTGTACTGATACAACTCAGGAGAATAGGAAGGTAGTCTTGGTGTTTTATAAGATACAGACAGCATGACCTAAATCTTAACCTCTATTTGAGAAAAGTAATTCACATCTAAATTTCACCATTATTGGAAGCCACATTAATTCATATTCTCTCCTCTGTAAAAGGTTATTTAATAGAAATTAGGCCAATTCCAATAAGCAACTGCTGCTTATGTAGAGAAAATATGTTAAGGAATAATCACCATAAATACTGACAAAGATCCAAAAGACTCATTGTATACTTTAGAAGACTAGACCAGAAACACAATTAAACAAACTCACTGGTTCTAAAAATAAAAGGTCTAAAAAAGCTATTTTTCTTATTCTTAAGGACAGAGAAAAGCAATTGTAATTTTTTTTTTATTTTGGTTTTTTGAGACAGGGTTTCTCTGTGGCTTTGGAGCCTGTCCTGGAACTAGCTCTTGTAGACCAGGCTGGTCTTGAACTCACAGAGATCCACCTGCCTCTGCCTCGCGAGTGCTGGGATTAAAGGCGTGCGCCACCACCGCCCGGCTTGCAATTGTAATTCTTAAGCAGAACTGCTTATTTTCTTGACTCAAATTTCAGTTTTGAGTTTGGTTTTTAATGGCTCTCTACAAGTTTCCACTACCAGACAATCTCCATTTAGCCATTTCCAGAAAGGTCTGACTTATCTATGTCCACATAGTTTGAGAAATAGTGAATGAACATGAATGATAGAAATATTCTAATTAGGCACAATTTATGATCATAAGGGCTAGAAAACTGCACATTTAATAATGGAGACATTTTTCTCCTTGAAATTTCCCTATGGGTTAAGGATGTTCCAGAGAAAATGAATTATTATAAATAAATATAACATTGTGGGGGGCAAGATAAACATTTGTTCTGTTTTCAGTATGAGATGCATCTAGCAGCTTCAGAGTGCTGCAGAGAAGCAGGAGGCAAAGGTCTTCTCTAGCTGGCAGTTACAGCCTGCTTGTCTCGGTGCTCTCAGTCCATCCTAGAGTGGTGCAGGCAGCCTGCTATATGACAGGTCCGCATACCAGAGATGGGACCCTCATGCCTGGGCCATACATTAGATAAGACTTTGTGTCCCATACCAGTAGAATTGGGAATTCGGGAGGGAGTAATCTAGAACACCTGGAAGATTCTACTCCCCAAAGAACTCAGCCAATGAAGGATTTGGGGGACAGAGAAATGAGGTCAGGAATATAAAAACTACTTCTTTATCATGCCAGCCATTTTTGCCTTTTTCCAGGCTGACACTGAGCTTCTGCAGAACCAAAAATAAATCAGTTTTGCTTTCCCTACTTGGATTTTCTAGTATTCTTATTACGATTTAAATATCATTGTTTCCCACAGGGGGAATTCAGATTTTCACTAAAAATATATTCAGCCCATTCTTCTCTTGAATTAAGACTTTTCATAATTCACATGTTTCATTATTTTCCTAAATTTGTCTTTTCATTCTCTCATAGAAGGGAATTAAAGCTCAAGAACATATTCCAGTCAAAACGTCACTGGGTTAAGACACTCCAGATGAATATATTTTAAGAAACAACAGGTAAAATAAGCCTTTTGTTTTTTCGTAGCTTTTAGTTATCCCAGCAATCCTTGCCCCTCATCTGCACATATAACTGAAGACTATAATGCCACATTTTGCTCTGCTACCATCAACTGATGTGGGAGTGATTTCTTATTAATAAAGAAACTGCCTAGGCCCCTTGATAGGCCAACCCTTAGGTGGGTGGAGTAAACAGAACCGAAGGCTGGGAGAAAGAAGCTGAGTCAGGGAGTCGCCATGGTTCTCCCACTCCAGACAGACGCAGGTTAAGATCTTTCCTGATAAGCGCACCTCGTGGTGCTACATAGATTATAAGAAATGCGTTAAGAGGCTGAAACTAATGGGCCAGGCAGTGTTTAAAAGAATACAGTTTCCGTGTAATTATTTTGGGGCATAAGCTAGCCATGTGGGCGGCTGGGTGCCTGGGACGCAGCCCCGCCGCTCTTAATACAACAATCAACCACCTTCAAACTTGCAGTAGTTCAGATCATAATTTCTTCTTTTGAAATAATATAGAGTGTGCTTATTTTATATCTGAAAGACAAACATATCTTCCATTGGGTATTTAAATGAACACTTAATTATAGTGATATTTCATTGTGTTTTAATAAAGAAAGTCTGTCCGAAGATCAGAGTGCAGAGCTAAACCATTAGAGGACAGGGAGTGGGTGGCACACACCCTTAATCTCAGGACTCAAGGCCACCTTGAGATTGAATCTGTTTAAAAAGAGGAACAACTCACAAAAGTGTTCCCCGCCTTTAAGCCTTTAACTAAGGGACTCACACGCCTTTAATCCCAGCACTAGGGAGGTGGAGACCAGAGTGGTATAAAAGGCAGTAGGAGACAAGCAGTGCAGCCTGAGGCTTGGTGGAGAGCACTGCAGTCTACAGTCACACTGAGGACAGGGTCACCCCCTTGTTCCTCTGAGCCTTGGTAGAGGTAACAATTCTCTAGTGGCTTGGCTGCTTTTCTTTTTCTGATCTTCAGCTTGAACCCTAATAGCCGTCTCTGGGTTTTTATTATTTGTGCTACAGTTAATCCTAAAGCCTTATTTGCACCATTAATATGAAAGAGAAGCTATAAAAGCTGAGATAAAGCAAGGCTGATAAATCTTTGAGCTGATCTCTGATTCTTCCTCAGAGAAGTCTGTCTTGGACTCTGAGTGTGAGAGCGCCACTGTACCAGGCTTCATGGATATTACCATAGTCTAACACACTGTTCTCAGAGACGGGCAGCTCACTTACTCTCATTCAAGCACCACTTATATATTCTATTTCAAACATACCCTTTTGATAAATAATTCTCTCAGGTAATAAATTTTAATTTAAAGACCTCAGAGTTTTTTTTCCAAATCAAATTCTATGCTTTCTATTTGTTTTAACCACTGCCTATACATTTTGAGACATCCTAAGGATATTTAAAATGAGACGAAAAGTTGCTGATCTTGTTATTAGTA